AAATTGTAGGTATAGGTTTCTGAGGAAATTGGGAAAGGGACTATATGATTATAAATTAGAAAAATTTTTCTTGTGGGAAAGCAGATGTAGCAAATGATGGTTTAAGGGGCTATGTAAAAAATATGTTATAGCTGGCTGGCACTCTCCATAATCTATAATTTCTGGACTGATATAAAGTAGCATGCGTTCCATTTTTTGTATTTAATAGGAAAGTCTTGGATTTTTTTTTTTTCTTTAATAATAGGTTTGGGTATTTTACTTCCAGGATCCTACATCTCACTTATTGCCAGAAGTGTTCTGTTCTATTTTCTAAATCCCTGGTAGTAATTCTCAGTTTAAATTTAGTCTCATTGTAAACTAAGGTTGTTCTGGCAAATACGACCATAGGCATTTATTTCTCTTGTGAGAAGTAGCTTACTATGTGACTGCTGTAATTAATTGATGTATTTATGTCTTAAAGTTCTGTACTTGAAAAATCCAGATGTGTCTGATAGAAGCAAATGGATATTTGGAGTGTATGATAGAACTACAAAATCATGTATCAAATGTCTAATAAAGTTGAGACTTTCATTAATGTAAATACAAGCATATGTTAGCTTAATTGGCACAACTGTCACTACAGTCCAGCTTTCAGTTTTTTAAAGATTGCAGCCAGGAATGAGCTTGCTATATAAACTAGTAAATCACTAGACTAATTCATGACCGAGAGGGATATCTCAGTTGCAAGATACTGCAGCGTGTCTTAAAGGAAACTGCTTCAGCTGGACCTTCAAACTTTGCTTCAAACTTACTGCAAGCTGAAAGAGAGCAAATGTTTTGTTACAGCACATTCCCAAGTTGTAAAGTCAAGTTATGCTGGACCACTGCATTGTGCAGCCTTGGGAAGTCAGGAAAACTGCTTGATCTTGCAAACAAGATGAGGATGGTATTGCAAAGAAATCCTGTAATGGTGAGGAAGACCGAAACTTGGCATCTTCTTTTTCCCCCTCCAAGTCAGTACCCAAGTTGAATTGATTGGCAGAAGGTTGTATGTTAGAATTGTTTTAAATCTTACAGCCAAGGTAAAAAGGAGGGTTTTGGTTTTTGGGGGGGGGGGGGTGGAACAATTTTACGTCAGACTTGAAAAGCCTTGAAGAAATACCCCAAATAGCCTGTAATTTCAGCAACTTGGGAACTAGCAAGTGAAGAAGAGAGATGTTGAAATTTTGCACGCTGGTTCTTCCTTGGTTTAGGAAGGGATTGATTAGGGATGCAGCTTTTGTGGGTCTTAGCTTACAGTACATGGCTAATGTTTTTGTATCTATCCTACTGTCTTTTAAACTTCCAAAGGAAGGGAGAGTATTTTGTTTCCTCTTAGTCTCCCTCATCTCAGAAAACAGGTGATATGAGAATGGAAGTAGGACAACAGCTTCGTGGATCTTCACCTCCAAACTGTAATAGGGTGGCCTTCCCCTGGAAGGAATCTTAATGTCTGTTTTGCTTTCCAGTTCTTTCCCAGGCAGCAGCATGCAACTCACCTGATGTTGGACAATTGCACAGCAGCTCTCAGGGCCCCAAGCAACAGCAGTAAATCTGTCACACTTAACGTTTGTATTACTCTGCTGCTGGCTGACAATGGCTGTGAGCTGCTGCAGAGACACCAGAGCAGCCTGCAGACACAGGATGACGACACTGTTGGCTAAGCTATCTCTTTAAAAAGGGTTCAGTTTCTGCTGTAACTGGCTTGGCTTTCCTGACCGCCGAAGGAAATTTGGTAGCAGGCCAGTGGCCTCTTGAAGCCCTGAATTAGCTCTTAAAGCACTATGGAAGTGCTAATTTTAATAATAATAATAAACTCCTCTTGAACAATCTAGGAAGAATCCTGCATTGGCTGATAGCATATAGATTATGCCATCAGTTGGCTCATCGTTGTCAATTACTAAACCAAGCCAGATTGTACTTAAAGCACAAATTGTACTAACTTAAGGCTATAACGTTGGACTTGCATTCAGACTAGAAATGGAAACAATATGCGGTCAATTAGCGTTGAAGTTTCTCTCCATTCATTATATATAAATTTTAATCTAAATTTATGGCCTCAACTTACTGATTTCCATTCATTGGTGCAATAATTGCCTCCACCAAAGTCTGTCTTGTGCATGCAGAAATGATGGACAAAATTTCCATGCTGATGCCCTTATGGCTTAATTTGTATTCCCATTGTTGGATGACCGAAGATTTCCGTGTGGGTGCAGTGAGGGCTTTTTTGGCTGGGGGAGGGAGATTTCTGTTGATAGTTACTGCTTTTGTGACATGAAGCCCCTAAAATTTTAATCTTGGAAGGCTTAACTTTGGATGTGGTCATGATCTTGCTGTTACCATTTTAAAGTTCTTGGAACAACAGTGAACATACTGGGATTGAGTCAAACAATATCAGTAAGTTTTCTGTCTTGCAATGTAAATGGCACTATTTGGCATCAAGGCAGCCAAGTTTAACTGTAGGGTTTTTGTTTTTTTTTTATATTGCAAGAAATGAGTGGATGAAGTTTGGCTTAAAAAAGAAAGCCATTTCTTATTAAAAACAAACTTGATTGCTGAATTATTTTGTATAGCAGTCTTTATAGGTTAGGAATATACCTTTAGATATAGATTCACCAAATTGAAGTTGTATTCTAATGTATGTATTGTTTGCAGAAGTCAGCCTGAATAGGTGTTTGTTCCTTATACTTGGACATGGGTAGAAGAAGTTGAAGCTATTACAAAATTTGTAGGTTTTTAGCTAGTATTGATCAAATCACTGTGAGGAACTCGCATGGCAAATGACCTTTCTGACAATTTATCAATTACATAAATGCTCTTTTAATGAGTAAAACACCTTTCAGCAGTCAGATTTTGCTACCTAAATAGCGTGACGTGAAAACTCGTAAAACTTCTTTCTCTAACCACCTAACAGACTAAATCAAGAATGTTCTTCCAGTATAAAATCAGATGAAGGGGAAAGGGAAATGTCACTCAGTTATTATTCTTTACTTACAAGTTTTAGCTTTGGGTAAGCTTTTCTTATGTCTGGAAAGAAAATGTTCCAGACTTTTGGAAAGAGGCAGGCTGGAAACTGTTGAAGTAGGAAATATAGACCCTGCTGTATGATGTGACAGCAGAGCTCTGAATGATGTTCAGAATGGTCAGCGAACCTTGGCTTTGACCTGTGTAACTATGTTGTGTAGCCAACATCCTCAAGATGCATTCAGGAAGGTGGGAGGTATAAGTAGTAGTTCCCAGTAGGCAAAAGTGTTTCTAGGAGGTCTCAGTACTCCATTAGGGATGTGAGACCAAGCCTTTGGTGACCCAGCGCTGTTGGCCTCAGCAGTCTTACCTTCAGTAGCAGCCAGCAGAGCCGTGCTGCTTGATACGTGATTTTGAAGGGCTACAGCTACCCCTAAAAAGCTCTTAGGCTGCTTGTGCTATGAGCAGTCCAAGAAGCTCTAAAGAAACCAAAGGAATCACTTAGTATTATTTGAAACAAAAATCTGTTACAGAGGGTGTCATTTAGGGAAAGCAGTAGTCTGAAGGAACTAGAGGTATCTGATGACCTATGTGTATTCACTTAGAGTTGTAACATGTAGAAGTCCTAACTTGCAATTACCTTGTTTAATATTGCTAGCACTGCTTGTTCCTTGTTGTCCATGTATAATCTCTTCTCTGCGTATTTGTTGGGCCAGGTGGTTTAGGCACTGTCCTCACAGTGATTAACCAGTATGTAACGCGTGCTGTTGAGTTGAGATGAAGCATGTAGCCTGGTTATCTTGGTCTAGCTGCATACAGACCATTAAAAACTGCTAGGCAAAAACTTTAAATAGTAATGCCTCAATTGCTTATAAATCTGCAAGAGATTAGAGAATGTAAAACGAAGGAGCTGAATAGCCTCTTCTCTGTGCTCTAGTGCTTTGGTTTTTGGTGCACAGCAAATTCGTAGCCTTGCTTTAGTAAAATTAAGCATTTCTATGAAGAAGCAGAAGTTTTTAATTTTGGCAAAGTGGAGGTGGTCGTTAAAGCATGTGTTGAAGCAGGCTTGGTCTTTTCATTATGTTTGCCTGGCAAAGCACTGATGTCATACAGTAGGTTATCTGACCGCTTTTGCTGTTCTGACAAGACCTTAGTTGAGCTAAGTGTTTACACCAGCAGCAAGGCTGTCTGAAGAATATCCTTACGAAAGGAGAAGCCATTAATAATGAAACTTTGGATGGGAAAAGTAAGCCTGGGTTTGCATGCCTTGAAAGATGCAGTCTATGTCTGCAGACCAACTCTAATTTTTCCTAATAAATATGTTAATTTCCACTCCATGTTAATTTTAAGAAAGATATTAATGCCTCTTAGACCTGTTTTTGCTATTCCTTTCCTCTGCCTGATTTTTTTCAATAAATATGGCTAATAATCAGTTTTCCCTCTTCACCATAAAGCCAGGGCTAATGATCAGAAACATGTAATCATTATCCTTTTCACACTTCAAATGTGTTTCAATTAAGAAAACCATGTTTTTGTTACAGAAGGGCCCACGGCATATTTGGGGATACCGAAGGGTGTTTCATGCTCGTGGCCTTGGTAGCTGTGTGTTATCTATAGGATACTTGCACTTTTTTTAAAGCTGGCCTACGTTAACAATGCTCACGGTAACTGTCGTATGTATCCTTGTCTTGACATTAACTCTGTTATAACTTGATAATTGTTACATGAGATCCCTATAATTACCTCTTACCTAGAGTGTTGCCTTGTTGACATCTACTGAATTTAACAAATGAAAAGGACGTCTGGCACTTGATCAAAATTAGAAACTTACTGGTTTGCTTTGGATACTCATTTCTAAACTCTGCAGGTTGATTCCTCTTTGAATGTTTCATTTCAAAATAGAAGCTGACAATATGAATTCATATTACTGCTGCTGATTTTGAGGCGGCTGGCGCATTCATCACTAGGACACGTGTGGGGAACCTTTTGTACAGCTGTAACTTCTCTTCTCCTTACAGGCTTCACAGAGCCCAGTGTGCAATTAAACAGACTCAGGTAACTGTTCAGAAAATAGGAAGGGAGATTGAAGAAAAGCTGAGATGTACATCTACAAGCAATGAACTGGTAAGTTTGATTATTTAAAACCATATTCTACAGGCTTGTTGAAGCATCTGGCTGATGTCTTGACCATGAGCTTGGTTTTTTAACACTTGAACTTGAAATCTTTATTTAAACTTGTCATTTCAAATGGAAACTCATCTGAGAAGTGTAACGTAATGGATTTTAGATTTGTGTATGTTACTTAGATGGATTGATAGATTGCTTATCCTATTTTTACCTTTATTTTGTATAACTGCTTTTAAAATGTAAAAGTGTAAACATTGCACAGTGCATGAAAGAGGTTTATCAGGAAAAACAAACTTTTAATGATTTAGATACATCTTGACAGCAACCTATGATGGATTTAGAGTGAGGTGAGTCTACTGGCTGTATCTTCTTGCCCCCTGCTCCCTTTGGGTGAATAGAATTCATGCAAAAGCTGTCACTCAAGTGACATGTTCATTTTAAGCAGGAATTATATTAGATCTTGCAATAGCTTTTGACAGTTTGTTTTGCCTGTCCTCTTCCCCTCTCCAAAAAAGTGTACTGGCAGTAGTTTCTACTTTCTGCCCAGAAAGGCTGAGCTTCGTTCAAAGCAGTGAGTTGCCAGAACAAGAGTGGCTCATGGTGATTTCACTATATTGGTACTCACTGGCATGTGTCTGGTGCCTTGCATAGGAAGGAGGAAACTTGTGATGTGAAATTACTTTATTGCTGTAAGGTAGATTCTGGGTTGAGAGTACTCAGATAATTTCCAAAAGTGTCAAACTGGTTTAAGGGTTTGACAAAATGGGAAAATGGGAGTCTGTTTACCCACTCTAATTACAGGGTTGCATTGTAGACAAAAAAATGAAGTACTTGACTCCCTCAAGGGGCAGTATAACACCTCCTGTGAGTGACTCTAAGCCAGAGCTTCTTTGCCTTCTGCTGGTATCTTGGCTGTTAGGAGGTTTTTAACCATCCTTTTTTCAGTTATGGATATCCTTGTCCCTGTATGCAAAGGCTGTTCCTTTATAGATATGTGTGAGCAAAACTATATGAAGAACACTAAAACCAAAAATGGCAATGATTGTACATGTGATGCAATTTCATAGCAACCATGGTCTATGGTATAAGGAAATAATTACCTATTTTTCTTTTCCCTTTTTTAATAGTGGAAACTGTTTTTGGGCTTCCATTCCCCTTTATAAGTGTGTGAACTATATATAGTTTCCTTCCTTAATATTGAGTCATGTTTCCTGCTGCAGTCTTGAACAAGAAGGCTCAGCATACATGTGTAATTGAAGGAAATATGAAGTGGAAAGAAGAGTTCAGCAAGAGCTGACTTTTTTCAGGCAGCTAGTGTTGAAGTAACATTATCTCCATTAACTGCTTGAAAAAGTGAAAGCTGGCAGAGTTACACAAAGCGACATTGTCTGGCAGTACTTACACAAGACTTGGTCACAAGTATGTCTGACTGCCCCTTCAGGCTTTGAGCTCTGTCAGGGCTATGATTGGACTGAAGAGATGTAACTTCTCTTTTTCATTTTGAATCTGTCTTCAGTTATTCTCAATAAGTATCTATTTAACATGGTAGTTATTTCTGCCTTAAAAGAAAGCAAAAAACCCACTTATAATAGAAAATTCTGCTTTGCTATGCACATGGCAGCACAATTTCTTAGTGGACACAGTGCATCAAAAAAAAACCAGATTCTTTTTAAACACAGGAATAGATGTAGAGTAGGTACAGGACAAATCCTGAAACTTTCAGAGAAGAGATCCTTCAGATATAATTGTGTGGAATGACATAATCTGCTCCCTGCTGTGTCGTCTTTGCTTTTGTATCTTTTTTTTTTCTTCTCATCACCCTGAAGCTGGGAATTGTATCTCATAGTGCAGCTCAGACATCTCCAACCTTTTCCCAGCTCCTTACCTCAATTTAGTGTAGACTCCTCATTGCTCATCTTCCCTCTTGTTGCTGAACCCTTTGCCAGGCAATGAATGCTCGTCATGCTGCTAGCGCTCTGCTATTAGTTTCTCTGTACTTGTCCTGCCGAAGCGTCTTCCCACCTCTCCTTCCTCTCTAAATTTCTGCCCTGGGCCAGGTTGCGTCACTGAGCACAGGAGAGGAGATGCATCCTACAGCAGGAACAAGCACTGTGGGACACAGCTGAGGTTCTCTCCTTCCAAAGCAGCAAAATGATTAGGGTCTTTAGTAATCTATTGCCTGTGGTAATCTATGAACTCAGCTTTTAGTCTGGCAGACACTAGTCTTGTCCTATTTTTTCCTTCCCTCCTATTAGCCCTTTTATGGAACTGCTTGTATGCAGAAAAGCTTTTTTTTTTTTTAATCTGTTTTTCTTCCAATAGAAAAAAGAGAGTGAATGTTTACAGTTGAAGATCCTGGTGCTACGTAATGAACTGGAGAGGCAGAAGAAGGCCCTTGGTCAAGAAGTAGCATTGTTGCATAAGGAAAAAAGTACTTTGCATGACAGAGGTGAGTGTAGAAATGTTACTGCTTCTACTGCAGATACTCATAATCAGCTGATCAGAGGAGTCTTAGCCCAGCTTATGATCATGGTGATGAAAATTAAGGTGCTGGGTTTTGTTGGTTTTTTTTTCTTGTGTCTGGCTCTAATGTGCTTGTGTTTTTTGTTTTTTTTATCTGAAGTTTGCAGCTATATATAAGTTCTTCACCATCTGTGTTATACTGAATTGTGTACAGCAGTTTCTGGTATCCTGTCTCTAAATAACTTCTTACTATGGCACCTCTCTAAATCAATCTTAAATCTGTGCTTAATTAAAATTCTATGAGAAAATCAGAAGAGCTGCACTGTAATACGGTAAACAGTGGCTTGATGCAGGCACATCATAATGTCATGAGGGGATGTTATTGTACCTGTGATTAGGATCCCATTTTAAGTGTTAGAAGACCAAAATCCTTCTTAATAGCTTATTATGTAAGTGAAAGGAGAAATGCTCAGTCTTCTTGGTATTTTTTTTTTACTGGGAAAGTATCCCATAGTAAAATGCTATATCACTGTTTCTTTGGAGTTCACCAGAGACCAAGCTACACGGACATTTGATCTTGTTGCAGGATTCTTTATTTAATACTTAGTTGAGTCTAAAATAATTAGTGACTACTAAAAATAAGGTTTTTGCCACTTACTTAATTCTGACTATGGAAGTATTGAGATGCCTTAACTGAATTACTCCACTACTGTGGACATGAGGGTAACAGCTGTTAAAGGAGAATGAGGTTTCGTTGGTTGTATTTGGCTGGTAAATGGTGTATAGTGCATGAAGGCAGCATAACATGGAAAATGGGCATCTAAGAGTAAATGGAGGATTATTGCCAACATCTGTGTCAGTATCTACTTTTAAAACTTCAGGTAACTGAGAAAATACTTGCTACTAATTTTTTTTTTTTTCCCCTGATTCCTCATGTTGTTTAGAAAATGCATTTGAGACTGAATACCAGAAACTTCAAGAGCATAACGAATCCCTGCATGAATTAAGAAAGGAATGCACTGCTAAGAGGTAAAAGGACCTATGCTTTTTCTGCAATTGGAAAGGAAATACAGGCTTGAGAGTAGGTCATTTGAAGTGGGACTCCTGGCACCAAATTTTTCCTAATGTCACCCCAAAACTTCTGTTAAGATGTCTCTGCTACAATTTCTAGATATCTAAAGTGATAATTAACAGTGACAAGTCTAGAAGAGAAGAAAACAGATGCATGCTTGCATGTGTAGACTATGATAGGACTTTTAGGTCTGTTTTAGCGTTACATGGCTTTGTAATACTTAGTTGTCGTAGTCAACATACACCTATAATATGAGGTACAACTGAAAATGAAGTGTCAGCTTTGTCTTCTGTGTTTTTTTTTGTTTTTGGGGTTTTTTTTTTTGTGGAATTACCTAGCTTTCTTGGAGAGGGGAGGTGATACTTGGGAAGATGCAGAGGGATATGAGGGCTTGATACCTTTACTTAAAGCTTTTGAAGAAACTAATGGTTTTGGGATCTCTTTTCCTAAAGAGAACTGTTTTTGAAGACAAATGCCCAGCAGACTATTCGATGCAAGCAATTGCTATCGGAGCTATCCTATATCTACCCTATTGATCTGGTATGTTTTTAATGTTCTAAAAATGTGCTTGATGTGAAATGAACTTCCTATTTGTTACACTGTGAGCAAGTATCAGTATCATGTTTTATTCGTGATGGAACTTGCTCGTCACCCATGCTGTTTTTTCCAGCTTTTTCTTGGGTTTGGTCCTGAGATTGCAAACCTCACAGGGAGAGGACTTATGCCAGCATCTCTCAAGTAGTCTCTGCTATAAAAGTAGAATACTATAGCTGTAATATAATGGATACTTTCCATTTTGTTTACAATTATATGAACTAACCCTGATAGTAGGCTAGCTGAACTTTAACAGAGTACAGATGAACAGATGTCAAAATATTGAGCTCCAATGCCTTTTATATAATGAATTGATTAAGATGAAGCTCTTCCTTCTTTAAATAAGTTGCATTTATTTCTGAATGATATGAAATATGGACTAAAACACTATGTCAAAGTCACTCTGGGTTTCTTTGAATATTTAGGTTTTTCTTTAAAAAAAATGCTTTGTTGTCATCACATTTTGTGCAGGTTTCTGTTTTCTGGATGTTATTGTTTCATTCTCACTTTCCATTGTTGGTTCTAAATTTACAGAATGATCAAAAGGATTACTTTGTTTGTGGAGTCAAGCTTCCTAATTCTGAAGACTTTCAAGGTAGCTGGTTATTCTTAATTTAGTTGTTACAGTTGACACTGCTTCTAAACTTCATAAAATTAAGTAAACTGATAGCAATGGCTTGGGATCCAAATTTCTGACTGGAAAGGTCTAGACTAGAAGAAAACTTATTCATTATTTATTCCTACTTCCTAGCTAGTACAAAGGAAGTTACTGTTGACTCTTAGAAAAGTACCTCTGTATTCTAAGACTTAATATGGAACTGCTGGAACAGGTTACCCAGAGAGGCTGTAGAGTCCCCATCCCTGGGGATGCTCAAAACCCAGCTGGAGACAGTCCTGGGCAACTTGCTGTAGCTGACCCTGCTCTGAGCAGGGGGCTAGGACTATGCAATATCCAGAGGTGCCTTCCAAACTTAGACACAAATATTTTCCAGAATCACTGACCTAAAATTCCATTGTGGCTACTTTCAGTCCATAAATCTTGATGGGGAATGTGCATGAATCCCCATTCAGTTTGCTGTAGTTGCTGGTGAACTTACCAAATAACTATCTTGCATAAGTAAGACTTTAAAGCTGCCTGACAGTATGGAGTATTTTACAAGTCAGCTGCTGCTTTAACTGTCTGCAGTCATCCTATTGCAGAAGCAAATATATAATATGCCTGTCTGTATAACAGTTGTACAGGTAACTGCATGCATTCATCTACAAATGTTTGACATGAATTGAAACTTCACTAAAATCCCCTTGAGAATTTCTTGCTCCCAGTAACTTGCTCACTCTGCAAGTCACATGGTTTATTGGGCAAAAACCTCAATCAGTTGTCTAACTCTTTAAAGCCATCCCACAGGAATTAACTTGTGTTAACAGCATGTATATTGGATGCTAGAATAATGAAGGATATTCTTTAAAAGAAATTAATTTGTCAATATGACAAAAATTGGTCTATTTCTTTGTTTTCCTGATTGCACTAAATGTGGTCATGAACTCATTTTGGTAGTTCTTGAGAAATCAGTGGCATGCACCTTTTGGCCCATTTTCAGTTTACGGGTATTAATTCCTTACAAAAGAATTATTAATTCTTTATCAAAGTCTCTAGAAATATTGTATTATGAGGAAGAAGTACGAAGCATTCAATTTAGTGAAATATGCAGTTAAATTTGAAAACCAGCTGTCTGACTTGTATCTTTTTTCAGACTCTTGGTAGATAATATTTAAAAAAAAAATCAGGCATCTGAAGTATCAAAAAAATTTATTCCCTAAAAAGCCTGTTTTGCTGCAAATGTTGAACACTTTTTTTACAAAATCCTTTTTGAAAGGGGTGTAACTTTTAAATCCATGTACCATGTTGTGCTCTAATAGAGCTCAGTATGATTTCATAGTTGTCGTTGAACATCATTATAAGCTTTCTTAGAAGGTCCTCTGCTTAGTTGATTTCATGGGACTCCCTTGTGCCTCAGAAGGGATGACTCTGTCATGTTGTTTGTATTGGTGTGTTCACTTACAATGAAGAAAAATAGAGAAAACGGGAAGGAAAAGGGCTTACATGGCTAAAGGATGTAATTTGAATCGCAAGACCTGTGTGTATTCCCGGCAGGTGAAGCTTTAAGGTTGAAACCTTAAATGTCAAATTGAAAATTATACTTTAAAACAATGGGTTAATCTTAAGTTCTTCTAGTTATTGGCAGAGAACAGAGTTCATACCCTGGGGTCGATGTCTCTCCAACTGATCTCACTAATGAATAAAGTTATGGAGGAATGCAGCTTTTCCCTGACCCCAGTCATACATGTCAGCTACATCTAGAGAAATGCAGAAAGTTTAAAACTTGAATTTTGTCTTGGGATTTGTTTCACTTTTCCCATCTCTTCTTTACCCTCCCCCACCCAGCCAAACGTTGACAAGAGTACCTTTTAGCTTTGAAAGTGTAAAATTGGAAGGAGAACAAGCCATCACCCATTTTACATTGCCCTTTAATGAAAGAGGCAAATATAGGGTACCGCAAACAATTGTAAAGCAGTCTAAATTTATTGCAGACTTGCACCTGTTCTTAAGTTATAACTTCTGATAGCTTCATTAATTATATCATTCTCTAAGCAATAAGGATGAACTTGTGCTGAGCCTGCAGTGAGATACAGTTGATTAAATAATGGATTTTTTTTGTTGTTGTTGACAGCAAAAGATGACGGAAGCATTGCTGTTGCCCTGGGCTACACTGCTCACTTGGTTTCAATGATATCCTACTTCTTGCAAGTGCCACTCAGGTATCCTATAATTCACAAGGGCTCCCGGTCCACAATCAAAGATAATATCAATGACAAACTGACGGAGAAAGAGCGAGAGTAAGTATGTCGTAAATATGCTTATGTACTTTCTTTGAAGCAACAAATCAACAACAACAAAAACCTTGAACAGTTTTGGGTAGTCTGAAGTGACACAGAGTTTGAAGTGATTTGTTAGTGCTTTCAGTAGCTGGGGGACAGTTGTTAGAGTTTATCATGTTGGAATTCTGTCATCTAATAGACTAGTTCAGCTTTGTCATTCTAGGTCTGTTGGCACACATATACTATTGATTGGGCTTCTAATAATGCTAGAAGAACTTAAATAGTGTGTCTTATAGGTACGTTTTGGCTGCTGATTGGAAAACTTGCCTTTCGTGTTTTGCTACTGGCTCTGGGAAAAAGCTGCAGATGGCAAATGTAGCTTCACTGAGGAGTTACTGCCAGTACTGGAGTAGTGGTTGATAAACATGAGAAAATAAATAGCTTTCTTTAATGCAGAGGATTTTAATCAATTGAAAAAGAGCACTGTAAACTGTTACCTACCATAAATCAATATTCAGTGAAGAGTTTTTCATTTGTTCTGTAATCATTGTCTTTCAACACATAGCTACGCTATTGTTATTGTTGTGCTACTAGGAAACTATCTTGCTGCCCTTAAATTTACTCCCTGAATGCCTTCTCCTGCATTTGGCACTTTGCCTATTTTCCCACTGTCTTTGCACCTGTGTGCTCTAATATGAAAATAGTGGCAATTGTTGGTTAAGCTGCACTTTGTAGCCTGCAACTGCAGAACTCAAAAGGAATGCAATACTGACCAGCTGTGGGAGGCCAGCTGCTCGTCTCTGATCCTGTGCATGTATGAATGGCTGCAGAGTCAGGCTTGCAGCACCAGTAACTTTGTTTTTCCATATGCAAGGTTTGAAAAGGGAGCAAAGGAAATGACTGAGGGGACATGAATTTGTGGAAAGTAGTTGTCTCTATTGACATGAACGCTGTAAAAAAACCTCTTCTCTTTAGAAGTATGCAACCAAAGTCTTATAATATTTTAACACTAATTCCTAATAGTCCAAATCAAGATTGGAAGGGTCTTACTGTGCCTAGTTGACAGGACTGGGATGCTTGGAAGTGTCTGATTTCTCTTTGAAACTCAGTGACTTTTGCCAGGACAGCAGACATAACTTGCCTTAAGAGTTAAACTCACTGAGTTCTTCCTGTTTCGACACAATAAAATATGACTGTATAATTATGTCTTGCAAATTAGTTTTGATACCATTTTAATAACTTGTCCAAACGCTTCCTGGGTAACTTAATAGAACATTAATCAGTTTTGCTTCAGTTTAGTTCTCTAAGCATATGATCATACTCCTTCCTGTACATCACTTTCAGAAGGGTAGCAAACTAGAACGTTTATATCTGGAAAATAAATTTCTGAGGAGTAGAGCTGCCCGTGTGTGGGTGTATAAAGATTAAAATAATTTCCTGTTGTCTGGGACAGATTGGAAGGTTTAGTTCTTCAGGCTATAGCCTTCCAAATCCTCATGACTTAATACTTTATTTCACAATAGATTTCTGAAAAGGAGAAAGTTTAGCTAAGTATATGAATCCCTGTTGGGCCATTTACCTGTGTTCTGCAAGATTTTTTCAGGATTAGCTCCTGCATGGGATCTTCTCTTCCCAGCTATTGGAGAGTCAATCCTACCAACTCTCAAAGGATTTTGGTTGCTATAGAAAACCTCAAATGTCTTAACTTGCAGTTTTCTTTCTAAACTAATAGCTCATGTTTCTCACCTACTCCTAACTGAATTGAACATAGCAATTAACAGGCATTATTAAATTTCTTTATTTCAGTCACCTGTCCTTTAGCAGCTTTTCAAACTCCAACATAAACTGTTGAGTAATTACAGTGACGTTTTCTCTATACTTAATCTTTACTATAACACATAGCATCATGATTATTGACTAGGTTAAACATTTTACTTGGCTTCATACTTTTTTTTTTTTGGACTGCAGGGTTGCCCTGAGATCTATATTAAGAGCTTCTAAAAATCGTACGTTGGGGGAATAGCTGATGTTTTCACTCGAGAGCAATTTCATAAGTACATGTGTTCGGTTTTAATGTTATACTGTATAAATGTGTTACTTCACTTTCAAGTTTCTTTACCAGCTTTTTAAAGCCCTTATAATAAGCTGGTTAAATATTTTGAGAGCTTTGAGAATGTAAGTTAGGTTTGGGAAACATTCTGTCTGCTTCAGATTTGTTTACTTGGATGATCCAGGTCACTTAAATTTCAAGGTTCTTGTAGAAGTATTCAGTTTTGTCTGCTGCAATTACTGTTACATTGGAACTTAAGAGTGTACAAAAGAAGTAGGAGACTGTGGTGAGAACTTAGCACTTGTCTGGCCACATTACTGAAGGTAGAATGAGGTATAGAATACCTGCTGGTAGCATACAATATATGGTCAGCTTTGTAATTGTAGAGATACTAGTGTTTATAATATATTCCATAACTGTTCCCTCCTTGTATTCCATGAAATAATTTTGGTACTACTAAAAGGCTGTAAGTCTTCTCCCATAAATCTACGTTTATGACTTTCTGAACCACCAAGGTAAGACAAGAATATGATTGTCACTAAATATCTCATTAATGCAGTTTTTCAGTGGTCCCTTTCAACATCGCCAGAGTGTACCGAATATGTAGGAAGAAAGAGTACCATTCCTCAAAAGTTCTGGAGTCTGAAAGATTTCAAAGCAAATAATGGATATATAACTCCCAAATTTAAGCTACTTAGGACAGCAACATGTTCCTCTCTCCAGTGACAAACAAACATGTTTCCTGAATAAACTACCTAAATTCTTTGGCACTGTTCTTGCAGAACTGAAACCTAGCACTTCATTGCACTCTCATAAACATAGTAAGAATGCTGAGATTAAACTATTTATGATATGTTCTGACACTGTCTGTCAAGCACTGCATTTAATGCTTCTGTTAGTCTGCTCCCAGATTTTTAAATAAAGAATAACTTCCAGTTTAGAGCAAAATAAGGATTGTTATGTCTGGATTGAGACATACTTTGTGAAATTGCCTGTGTTGGTGTTGCTGCAATTGTTGCAGTATTTTCTTGTATAGTCTTCAGTTCTCTTCTTCCAGTTCTGATACAATCTAAACATCTCGCAAAGTAAATGCCTGCATTTTGCTGGCTGGAAGCTACTGAATCTTTTGAAACCATATCAGTCTCCTTCGTAGTATTAAAGTGAGTACAGTGAAGCACACTTATGCCATCTGTTTGGGACTCTTTTGGCATCTCTGTTGACTCAAAGCTATGCTCGGTTGCTACTTTTTATAACTGAGACTTCACATGACGCTTCTACAACCTGCCAGCTGAATATTTAAGAGTAGAATACTTGTTTAATCAAATCACGTTAGACAGCTTGGAAATATGTATACTCCCCTAAGAAACATAATGTTCTTTGGAGTTTAATCACCTTTCTGGTGCCCTATGTGTGTTTGGACAAGTGAAATGCACATTTGGAGACATTTATTTCTGTTGTATTTTTGCATTCTCATTCATACTGTGTCTTTCAAAAGATTTTCAAGAACTCTTACTTCCCTGCTAGTTAATTTGGAAATGAGAATGGTTTCAAGAAATAGCTTTGCTAACATTGTTTCTCTGTAGTAAGAGAAATTAAATAGTACATGCAGTCTGTTCTGGCTTATGCTACACCTTCTTCCCACCAAAATGTGTTAAGGGAGGATTAGAAAACTAGTTGTAGTAAGAAAGTAACCACCTCAAAGTCATATTTCAGATTAGGGAAAAAAAAAAATGAAGGGGTACAGTACATGATCTAAAAAGACTTTGCATTTAAAAGGCAAAAAGAACATCATCATTTTCAAGCATAGTTAGCTACTGGAGCACATACAGGCATTTCAGAGGTGTCTGATCTTGAAGTGCTATTTTTTTTCTTGTGTTTTATGTTTAAATATTGAACTTATTGCCACTTAAAGTTATAAAGGTCAAAAATATATTTAAGTTTAAAAATAAAATAAACCCAAACAAGCCCTAGACAGTCATGGAAGAAGCCTGATCTAATCTAGTGTATTTTTTGCAGGAATATTTGGCATTAACTGATCTGAGATAACAGTAAACTACTGTAAAGGTTTCCTTGGCATTTTATAGTTCATAGGAAGATTTAAGGTATTTTCTTCCACTCTGCTTGACAGACGCCAACAGGCCAAAGAATACAAAACAGCTGCGATGCAGTCTTGGTCATCTGCATTCAGAGGCATCTGACATCTTTGCAGTTATGTTTTATGACTTTTAAGTACCTCAGGAACTGAACAGTTGTATGGAATGACCTAAGGAGGAGTGAAATTGAGCATACTGCCATGGCTTTCTAAATTATGCTACTTGTCCTGTCTGAACACCTTCTGTTGTCACTAAACATAGGAAATGACTGTCTATTGCATTACTGTGTCCTCATAGAAAAAATGGGATCAAAATTGTATGCTGTGTTTGCATAGGTCTGATCCTGAAATAATTTCCTGGAAACTATTTCTGTGATGTGGAGTTATACCTCAAAATTGTCTTTTTCTGGAGCTCAGCTTCATCATTATTGAGAACTTCAAGCATGCCAGAAGATTGTACTTACTAGTTTTTGTCTTGATGTTTAATTTAGGTAGGGGTCCTAGAAGTAGCTGTTTTGAGCCAGGGTTGTGAAGATCTGCTGGCATCAGACTTGATCTGGAAACAAAGTCAGGGTGCATCCAACCTCTTACATCACAGCGGCACTGCAGTGCTCAAGACTAGCCGTAATTCTCTGGGTGCTGAAAACTTAAAGGCCAGTTTCATTTCATTGCTGTAGCCCACGTGGGAAGTACAAAGGTATGAATAATAAAGAACACGTCATCTTTCACTGGGATGAGGCAGTCTTGTAGCAACTGAAGAGCGTATCAAGCATGACATGCAGCTGCCCTTGTTGGATCTTCAGAATACTTCTGGATTCCTTAAGGATGTAGTGCCATGAGTGGGTTTATCCTCATGCAGCTTCTCTACAGCTAAAG